GACGATATTTCTGCTACCGTGCGGTCTCTGCCAACACGCGTTTTGAGTTTCCTGTCTGTGAGCAATTGCTGTTTGGGCCGGTGCATCGAATACACAGGCTTGGCAACGAGCAGGATGTGCATGGGGTCACCCTACCTCCCCCCTCGCTCTCTACGTCCGTGGTACAGGCTGCAGAACTTGCTGTATGCATTAAGTTGCACACTAGGCAATATATTCTGAGTCATATGCTATACATATTCTTGTTTGCATCACGTGAGTTGCCTTAGAGAAGTGAAAGTCTAAAGCGACACTAACCAGCATTCTCGTACGTGTTCATACTCAACAGCACATAATGTTTCCACCAAATGACAAGCAGTCGGGCAGTGTCTGATCCGCATACTAGACCCTAGACCGTGACATTTTCGTGCGATAGCATAACGAGCGCTCGGTAACATCGCTTCTATACGGAAAGGTGTTTTGTGTCGCTTGCCGCCGACGTCTTGGTGTTACCTGCAGCGGCGGACGCTGCCCAGCCTGGGGTGACTGCAACACCGGATGTCGATTTACGGCGATATTTTGAACGACTCGCGTCTCACGGATTTAAGTTGAATTGCGCCAAAGAATTTCTGCGCCAAATCGCGCCAAAGAATGTCTTTGTCTCGCGTGGTTTTGTTACTGATGACACACCCTAATGTGCAGTGTGTATGGCTTTGAATGGGGCATGGGAGTGAATATGTTTAGATTCTGGACATTTATTTTTTAGTATGTGAAAATATTCAATTCATTGTAATTGACACATGATAGCAGAATTTCAACATCAGGCCTCACTATGGAGACAGCAGCATTGTATTTTGTTATTTTGTTAAAAGAAATACTGGAAGTTGCCAGATTTACCAACATTTTGTTGGGACAGCACCTGGGCAAAACTCAATATCAGGATTGGTGTATAAAACTTTGGGGGGGGGATAAATTCAGTGAAATGTTTTATGTCCAGTGAGGTCACCAGTTTTAGACCAAGCTCGCCTGACAGGCAACGCCACAAATGGAGCAAGGGAGTGCTGCTTTTGGACAGGGGCGGATCTAGCATGTTTTTTTTTGGGGGGGGGGGGGCAACCGTTCGTCGCCAGCTGAACGGTCCCCGTACAACGCTAAGGTTCAGCAATTCACTCACCCACGTGCTTATCAAACACGATGTTCGCGCCAAGTATGACTAAGCCGCGTCAACATGCGTTTTGTTTTGATATTCAAATCGCTGCCAGCTTTTCTTCATGAAGCTTTTTCAGAAACGGAAAGAAATGTTTGATACTGCACAATCAAAGTTGAAACAGACGGCAAGTAGACGAAACTTTTTATGAAGTTCTGGGAATGTACTGGGGGGGGGGGGGGCAAAACATACTCTCAGAGTTTTGGGGGCATGGTCCCGTGCCGCCTTCCCCCCCCCCCCCCGCAGGATCGGCCTATGCTTTTGGAGCAGTATTCAGTCTGGCTGATGCATTCCATTGACACATTTGTCATAGCCGGCCAATTGGGAAAAGCCGGTATCGGAAGCATAGAGGTTTTTCAAATCAGAGTGCCTTCAAATGTGTGTTTGATATCTTTAGGTGTGCATACGTGAAGATGCCTGTGAAAAAATGTCCTGGTAAGTGAACTGAAGATGCGAATTTTATTTTTGTGTTCAAGCTTGGGAAAATTTTATGGGTGCGTGCCAAGCAGTCTAAATTTAGTGATAGACCGTATAATGGAGCATACCAGCTGGAGCAGAGCCATAAAGCCCTGTCCACTGCAGCTCACAGGGACTCAATGTTGGATATAAACTTCCCCTACATTAAGAAATCAGTAGCTGGCTCGCAACCTGTCCGTGGTGAGCGTAAACGGGGACTTAACTTGTTTCTGAAGCTCATGTGTGTTAGTACAACTGCCGCCTACAAATCATGGACATGTCATATTATGGTTAAACAGTGGCAGATCACTTCTTTACAAAGTTAAAACGATTGGGCCAAAGATGGAGCCTTGGGCACCCCGTAGGGGCCTCCTCAGAAGTTGATGAGGAATTTCATAGCTGTGCGCAGTATTTTTTACCAGATAAACATTACTGCATCATTTGATAAGGTTTATGAGTGTCCCCATATTTATGAAGCTCTTGAAGAAGTGAATCTTGAGTGAAGAAGTATATCAATATAAATAGTAAAATATATATAGCATATATATATATATATATATATATATATATATATATATATATATAATACCCAATATAAGTGCCCGCATATTTCTGAAGCTCTTGAAGAAGTAAGCCTTGAATGAATAACTAAATCAATATAAGCAGTGCTAAAAGCTTTCTGCAGGCCAGGGTATAGCTATAGAGCATATTCACCTTACCTCAAAGGCTTTAGCAGCTTCTCTCAAAGACTCTTGCAAAAGACAGCTTTGCGTATGTTCTTCCGTTTTGTTTCTTTGTTTTTGTTTTTTAAGCCAAGGTGATCGGTGTGAACTATAGCAGTTTTTATTCAGATGAAGCACAATACAGGCATAAGTCGATGGTATATCGATTTTTTCTAGATTTTTTTTTATAAAGGTGGCATTAGCCAGTGGGATTAATCGGAAGAGAGTTTTCCCTTTAAATATTGGTTTAATTATAGCGATTTGGAGAACCTTTGGGAATATGGCAGAAGTGATGCAACAGGTGGTGTGATGACAGTGATACAGAAGTGGTGAGCAACGTATTGAATGAAAGGTTTTCAGAAATATTTTTCGATTCGATTACATATCGATTGAAGATTGTCGTCGTGGTAACTGTTCGGCTGAACCGGTCCGTCCGTTATAACTTGGAATGCGCCTTCAGTTTTGCGCTGTGTGCCTACGTTCCGAGAGGCTGTGTGCCGACAGAACGGAGGGCGTGTGATCTGGAGAAGAGAAAAAACATCATTCAACATCACTGATAACACCCATATACACCGAATCTACAGGCCTTCAACATAACGCTGTATCTAGGGTATACATGTTTTGCGTACTTTTGCGTACTGTTTTGCGTACTGATGCGTACAGCCGTTCAGGTGATAGTGTTACCGACTTTCATGGATTGAGGTCCGTAACGTAAAATACACAGGGGCTCTGGGAAGAATGCAACGTCGGATTCTGCGGCTGGGAAGTAAACTCATCTGACCACAAACAACCCTGGTGCTTCTGAGAGCTCGTGCTTCGCTCATTCTCTTTGCGCGTGAACGCAGCTGATGTTACAGGGCACAATTACAAATGCCAAACGCCTGTAAACAATTATAAGGAAAACTATGCCGTGACTATGTTGAACAATTATGTTCTGCTAATTTATAGCTTCAGTGGCATTGGCTTGTGCGTGCAGAAGTACAAGATGTCACCGCAGGATGTCGCCCTGTCGTCACAAAATAACTAGCCAATAACTAGCTGTTTGAAATGAGCAGACAGCGCTTGAAATGATCGCATTAATTTGATGACCTTTGGAAGGCTTCTACCCTGGCTTTCTTCACCCTTCTTTCCCCCACCCCCGACACACGCATGCAAGCACGCACGCACGTACGCAGGCACGTACGTACGCACGCACGCACGCACGCACGCACGCACGCACGCATGCATGTACTCTCTCTCTCTCTCTCTCTCTCTCTCTCTCTCTCTCTCTCTCCTCTCTCCTCTCTCCTCTCTCTCTCCTCTCTCTCTCTCTCTCTCTCTCTCTCTCTCCTCTCTCTCTCTCTCTCTCTCTCTCTCTCTCTCTCTCTCTCTCTCTCTCCCCTCTCTCTCTCTCTCTCTCTCTCTCTCTCTCTCTCTCTCTCTCTCTCTCTCTCTCTCCCTCTCTCTCTCTCTCTCTGTCCCTCTGTCTGTCTGTCTGTCTGTCTGTCTGTCTGTCTATCTGTATGTCTGTCTGTTCTGTTTGTCCGGCGTCTGTCTGTCTGTCTGTCTGTCTGTCTGTCTGTCGTCTGTCTCTCTCCCCTCTCTCTCCCCCCTCTCTCTCCCCCTCTCTCTCCCCCCCTCTCTCTCCTCAGTTGATCTCCCCTTCTTTCCTTTCGTCTCTACCTGCTCCTGAGTTCTGAGGCGGCGCCAGACAACCGGCGGCCCGATGTTATTCTTGTCAAAGTGTGAGCTGCTAAATGTGTCATGCTGCGTCTGCCGGTTTCAGGTGCTGCGCAGAAAAGAAATAATGGGGAGGAATTTCTAGAAATGACGTCATGCCTCCTTTTCGGTCTATGCTGACGATTAAGCTGTTTTACTGAAACTTGCGAACCGTATTTCCGTGCCATGTTTTTATCAGCCAGCTTAAAATCTGGACTTACGCCTTTCAACTTTACTGTGGTCCACGGTCCACTTAAGATGAAGGCTGAAACACCGAACGGAATGAATTGCTGCCATATGATACATCAGTTATATATCTGGTATATATCCTGAGCCAGAGCTAATATCTGGAGATGACATCCGCTTAACCGCTAGCAATAAGTTCGGAATTGCTCCGGATAAGCGGCTTATTAAACTACCGAGAGCGTGACCACTTCAGTATTTCAACCTTGATAGATCAAAAGCGATGGTTGAAGTTTTAGATCCAACTGAAACATGCAGACAGTTGTTGTTAACTGAAGACATATTCTGAAGGCGATGTAAGTTAAAAGGTCATGCTTTTTGAGAAGAAAAAAGCAGGCCGGAGCGATGATTTCATGACTAGAAAAATACGTTTGCGTTCTTTTTTCCTTTAAGGCATATATACAGCACACTTTTCTTTTGCCAGCATTTTTCGTGAATTACGCAAACACCGAGGTTGATATAAAAAGCAAAACGACACTTCAATGCAAAGCCACGACGCATACCACCGCAACGTCACTTGCAAATGACTGGCGTAATCACTGGCCTTACCAAACGTCCGGGCCACGGTCGTCCACACCTGCCCACGGCACCCCCGAAAGGTCACGGCCGTCGTGACTCACAGGTCGGCCTGACTCACGCCGCCACGTGGTACACCGGGTGCCGTCGAATAAAGCCGCCGCCCTATCGCCGCCGTCGACTCACTCGGTATGGCGGGCCGACGGCTGTGCCTCGCGCTGGCGTGCGTGGCGCTCGTCTGCCAGGCCAGGCCCGGGGTCAAGCCCGCCAAGCAGGTCCTCTTCGGCGGCCCGTTCGGCAGGTGAGGACGGCGCGCAGCAGGGGAGGGCGCCGACCGGCGGCGCACGGCTCGAGGCGGAGGGGCGACTGACGCACGGCCGATGACCCGTCCCACCAGGGTGTGTCAATCACCAGAGCCCTGCGTGGACTCTATCAGATTGCTGTGTGATTGCGAATGCTGGCGGTGGATTGAGACAGATGCGCGGTCTGGGAGCTCATGTCACATGCGACCACTTCTGGTGCGTGCGTGACCGCGATGTCTGCATCAGTGATTCAGAATGGCAAAGCACCAAAACGACATGATTATTTGGAGCCATTGTTACGGCTTGGCAATCAGTTGGAGGAGGCAGCTTTGATTTCCACTTGTCGTGGTACAAATGTGTCTGGCTCAGACATGAAGTACTACACAGGGCGAGGAATATCGGGATTTCACAACGGCAGGCAGCGGTAAAATTAAATGTTTTCACTAACAACCCCAGTTTAGCCCGACGCACCCATGCAAAATGTATGGCATAGCGTGTAACAATATCACAGGCTCTCGAATTAGTAATTTGCACGTGGCTCTCTCGAATTTAGCAGCCTCAGCGTTGTTATAGGGCCTGGGCCTCAGCCTTTCTTCGCGCACATATTAATGCTCGTAATACATTCGACACGGAGAGAGGGTTGTGCCCCTGGGTCATTATGTGAATACGCATGTGAATACGTGTGTGTGTGTGTGTGTGTGTGTGTGGTGTGTGTGTGTGTGTGTGTGTGTGTGTGTGTGTGTGTGTGTGTGTGTGTGTGTGTGTGTGTGTGTTTGTGATATAATAATATATTATTCATAGCATTCAACCTAACGTAACGACCTGAGGCATGCAAATGTAACCAGACAGTCAGAACGCAACAATTACTTGCGAGAACCCAGAATCTGTGAGCAGCCTATTCGAAACATAGAATCCCTAATTTTGTGACAATTACAATAGAAGGACAATATACGAAGGTTTCTCTTAGCCGTCTCCTTTATTTATAGCTAAGGAAAGATGCACTAAAAACCATGCAAGCATTGATGATATTGCTGCCACAGGTCCCTGTTCAAACAATATATGCAAGAAATAGACAACCATAGACGAACACGTGTATTTGTCCATGAAAATTATATCAGATGCTTCGACGGAAACCTTCGACGGAAATTTCATCAACACTTCCACTGTTTGCTCTGGCTTTGCTACCATCAACGGCCATACGGCTAACAGAAGTGCATTTGTGGCAGCTGCACTTCCGTCATTTCAGAAAAGTTGCAAGTCATAATTATTTTGCGCAGCGAGGGATCCACTCTTTTGTCTCGCGCTTTAATAAATGGGTTCGTGCCGTTGCAGTGCCCATCTTATCCTCGATACTATTAAAAGCTACGCTTTTATCAAGATAGATGACAAACTGTCCGCCATTAAATTCCATCGCGCATTGCGGCGACCCGTTTTCATTATCCTGCGTATATATATATATATATATATATATATATATATATATATATATATATATATGTGTGTGTGTGTGTGTGTGTGTGTGTGTGTGTGTGTGGGTGTGTGTGTGTGTGTGTGTGTGTGTGTGTGTGTGTTGTGTGTGGGTTGTCCCTTCCTCTCCCGCCGCTCTCTCTCTCTCTCTTCAATTGTCTGCAATCAATCTCAGTCTGCAATCTTCTCTCAATCGACACCGAACCCCTGTACCGAAAAGGAACGCGTTAGCCATCGTGGTCAGAGCGAGATTATGCCATTATGCCGTCACTGGGTAAACATGGTTCCCTGGCAACCACGAACGGCAGCAGTGTACCGCACCGGGAGTTGAAAATAAAGGGTCAATACAGGCGTTGGGAAGCGAGCCGGGCCGACTCCCTACGGCCGGAAGCACGAGTGTCGCTATCGGAGCGGCCGGGCTGGCGGTCCGCCCGCCGCCACCTGCTCGGTCCGGGGCGGGGCGCTACGGGCGGCGCGACTGCAGGCACCGCCGCGTCGCCGTCCGCCCCGGTGGTTCCCGGGCGGTCGCCGAAGCGCAAGATGTCGGCAGCAGCCGCCGGCCCAAGTTGATCGCGCTAGCTACAGACCAGAGGGGAATGGGGATAGACGCTATCGGCTCTACTCGTTAACCACGCCGCACTCTCGTCGAGCGAGCGCGCTGGGAGCGCAGAGCGAAAGCTAGGGTCTCTCTGCTATCTCTCTCTCGCTGAGCTCTCTCTCTCGATACTCGCTAGTCTTCTCTCTAGCTCTATCGTCTCTTCTCTCTCTCTCTCTCTCTCTCTCTCTCTCTCTCTCTCTCTCTCTCTCTCTCTCTCTTTCTCTCTCGCCCTTGCTCGGTGTAAGCTGGATCTCATTGATCTGCAGAGGTTGGACAGCTCCGCTACGCGGTCCCACGGGACCTCTGACATCTCGCGGCTCGCGGGCGCCGTCAGGCCTCCCTAGCACCCAGCACCGTCCTGAGAGGCCAGCTGGGCGCGCGGGCTCAGTTGACAGGCATGAAGCCATGCCGTCACCGGCCGGCCGCTCCCTATCCATCGCCGCTGGGCTGCGCGGCGTCGCATCTCGCACGGAACTCGGCGGAAAATGAGCGCCGACTGATAGAAGGGACGGACAGTAAAAGGAACTCCCATGACGTCAGGCGGCTTGTGTTAGAGGTCCTGAAGAGATAGTCAGAGATAGATAGACAGGAAGAGATAGAAGAGAAGAAGAGAAGAGTCCAGAAATACAGAGGCAGTGTGAGCGATTCGTTGTGATTTTCGAAATGATGACCTCGTTGATGTTTGTTTTGGATTGGCTGGATATGCTCAGTGACAAAACAAATGTCAAGGCTTAAGAACTTCTGATGTTTCCCAGGTAGGGACGGCACATCTTTATTCATTAAACTGTGGCAATTCATGTCAAGTAGATGACTTCACGTGCTGGGTGAACCCGTAGATACCCATATGAAATGCGTAACGATTTGGGTTGGAACAGTTTGGGGGGAAATTACGGGTGCCTGCACAGGTGAGACGTTTCAGAAATATTGGTGAGATACTTCCAAAGATTCCTTCACACTGATCCTGTGTACGCCTCCATAAGTAACAGTTAGCTCCACTGACTCATTGCAGTTACTAAGGCAATACAGAAAGATTGGATATAAACCTGACAACGACCTTTCCATAGTTAGCATGCTGCGAAATGCAAACTGGTGGTAAAAGTTATGAATGGGTAGCGGGCGGGTATGGCCACAGCCGGATGGGTAGCAAGTGGATTGAGTTCACGAAATGTTCCCCGCAGGGGCCTCTAATGGTATTTCTGCTCGCAGCGTACATTTGACAGACATCCGGCAATGTTGAGACGCGCTGTGCCCCTACACTGGGCAAACGATTAGTGCCTTGTACCCATGCGTTCATGCGTAAACTTACAACATGCGTTCATGCAATAATTGGTGCGACAGCATAGCCCCCGAAAGCCCAGCGAATGGAATCTAATCTATAGGCAAACCATTGTATCTTATTTAAGGGAGAAGAGTGACAGAAATCTCTGAAATGCATTCTGATCGCCGCACAATCCCGGATTTGCTTAACCTTTCTGAAATTCCAAGATCGGAAGTCTCCTCATCGGTTCTTTTTTGGCTCATTAGGTTTTACACATCTCGAAAACTGTTGATATTTTCCGAGTTTATTCAAAAGGGCAGGAAAAATCGTACTGATATGACGAGCTTAACAGAAACCTCTTGCAATGGACGCGCCTGTGGGTCTAAAACTTATTAAGCACGATTTTCAAAAAGATAGCTTCGTGTTGCGTCTACCTGCGATCAGTAGTTATAAAGATGACAGCTTTTAGACGGTGTGACAGCCGGGCTGATCCAGGAAGATCCGAGGCGATCTGGACCGATCCGGGCCGATCTGGGCCCAGCCGGGCCGATCCGCTAGGAGCCAACCCGAGCCGGGCCGAACCGGGTCGATCCGGGCTGAGCCAAGCCAAGCCGGGCCGAGTCGGGAGGAGCCAAGTTCGGGCTGGGCTAAGCCGAGCCGGGCCGAGCCGGGCCGATCCGGGCTGAGCCAGGCCGAGCCGGGTCGAGCCGGGAGGAGCCGAGTTCGGGCTGAGCCAATCCGAGCCGGGCCGAGCCGGGCCGATCCGAGCTGAGCCAGGCCGAGCCGGGCCGATCCGAGCTGAGCCAAACCGAGCCGGGCCGAGCCGGGCCGAGCCGGGAGGAGCCGAGTTCGGGCTGATACAGACTGGCCTGGCCACTCTAGTTGAGCACCTCATCATGACTGAGGCAGATAAGACCTACCTGGCCTGCGGCCTCACTGGTAAAAAGGAGGCAAAGGCAAGATAGAGAGGTTTTTCGATTTATCCTGGGAAACGATGCGCAGCATTTTTATCTGAAATAAAAAAGGCGCGCTTCACAACGTCCGAATGTAGAAAGTGACTGAGACAATGCATACGATGCCAGTAAACCAGACAGCTGGGCATAGCATTTACCATGCAATATTATAGACACTTATTACAGCATTCAGCAAAAGACCAATGATAATCAGAACTGGCAGTTGCGAACGAGCCGGTGAGAACCAGACGCCAGGACGTGGTATTTTGCGAGTGAACCAATGGTACCAGAGACCAGGATTCGATATTTGTGAGCACCCAATGCGGGACCAGGATCCGATATTTCCGAGGAACTTATGGCAACCAGAGTCAGGGCTTGCTGCGTGTGAAGTGATCAATAGGGACCAGGAACCAGATCTGGTATCTGTGGATGAACTAATGGACGTCAGAAACCTAGGTTCGTTACCTGAAGAAGAACCATCAGGATCCAGGAATCAACAGCTGGTGTTTGCGCCGGGACTAGAAACCAGGGTCCCGAATTTCGTTTCCAGGAAGAGCCAGCGGGAGCCAGAGAGCAACACTACAAACCAGGCACATACCGTAAACCAACACACACTAATGTTCTCATGCTAGATCAGTCTCGCCAGCTTAGGAAGAGCAAGATTGCTGTGGTGAAAGACCTCTTGCAAAGGACAGGCGGCTCCGCACCGCCCGTGAGATTAGTGAACTAATGTCTGTTTTTCATGCTGAGGGTGCGGACTAGACCTGGAAGGTACTCAAGCTGCTACGGCCGTGCAGAGGGCGGGCATTGAACGCTTCTGCCAAAAGTGTGCGTTAGCTCAAATTACTCGGACTGCTTAGGGGCAAGCGCACACATTATCAGTGCTGAAACCCCACGAGATGAGAGCAGCACACTTACAACAACGACACTGAAAAATAGGCCTCCTGTCGGCAAAAGCAAGACTCTAGACAGGTCCCGTAAAGCAGTTGTATACTCGGTGACGTGCGTGCGTCCGGCTCGTGCGCCGGAGAGACAAAATGGCCGCCGTCCATCACAGCGCCGGCGGGCGCTCCTGAAAGGCCATCCGTGGACAGAAAAGTGAGCGTACATCTTAGCTTTACCTCAATGCCCCTGCTGCAAGGAAAGCTTGCTTCTTTAAACTAATATTCCGGAGAAGAAAACTGCTAGTCAGAAGCCATCAAGCAAAACCAACCGTGCTATTGCCTCAGGAATTGCAGCGCTATCGCCAGCTTGTATTTGTGATTGGGATTTATGGGAGTGTTCTACGTTTATATGGGGTTTTGAACTAAAATAGCCATCTTTAAGACCTCTCGGTGAACCTCTCGGTTCACAGCCCTGTCCCTCTTAAGACCTGAGTCCCCCTAGTTTCTCAGCTACACGCCCGCAAAAATGGGGAGAGTACTTCGGAGAGCATTTCCAGACCACCTTGGCATTCATAGTGCCATAATAACGTCATTCAAATCCTGCCATTCCATTAGCCATGCGGTGATCAAGACCAAAAAAATATAATAATCGAGGTGTTCACATCTGTGCTTCGCAAGCACGATCTCCAAGCATACCGGCCGTCAATGGGCCCTCAAACAATGTTGTGCAAGGCACAATGACGTAATCAAATCACGCCACATTGAGGAGGATATTTACTAAACAGAAAATTGTGCTGTCTAGAGCAGTCTTTTCCACTTAAAAGCATATCAATAGTTAAAAGTAAGCTGGTTTCATCGTATCTGATGTGTACTTCAATGTCTTGAAATTTGAAACACTCCCTTTAAGCTGTGCGGGCCTCCGTGCCAATCAGCACTTATCATAATGCGGGGAAATTTGATCCAATCCTGAAATCCCCAAAGGCATTGTGGCGAGTGCAACGGCTGTACACGTGGAAGGGTATTGGCTGATTGTGATTAGCGCAGTCTGAAAAACCATGCTGTGCATGTTGAAGATCTGTTTTGATCTGATCCCATGTTTGCGTCGAACTTGCTGTGACGGAGATAAGCAAATGCTGGGTGGATGAAAACTTGCTGTGACGGACGAAGATGGCTGGACGCTGAGCGGATGAAAACTTGCTGTGACGAAGACAGCTAGACGCTGAGGGGATGAAAGCTTGCTGTGACCGAGATAGCTGGACGCTGGATGGATCAGAACTTGCTGCAACGGAGATAGCTGGACGCTGAGTGGATGAGATATGTGCTAGTCAAAGAGTTGTTTTTGCTTCGAGCATTCGTTTGCTCTTTTAAAATTGTTGTTAAATTGTCGCCATGTAGCCATGCTCACGTTATTGAAACATGTTTGCTTCTTTCAGGAGAGGAGGACCTCCGAGTCAAGAAAGAGATGCTGAAATGATTCCCCAAGGTAACATATCTGGCCTTGTATCTTGTCAAACCAAATGGTAACAGATTTACTCCCACATCAATAATACATTGATTTAGGGACATGTTGACCAATGCTTATAATGTATTTGAGTTTCGGTTAACACACCAAAGGTAATACGACGTGGTCACGGGTAAGGCCGCAGGCCAACAAATCTTACTCTCAATGAACCAAACATGCTTCTCTCTCAACGGCCCAGCAAGCCAAGTCAGGCTTCTGACAGGATGGTGTTTGCATCAATCGATAGAACTGGCCGAAATTGTAAGTTATAAAAGGCACAATTCGCTGCGAGTCGTGCAGTGAAACTTTTAGGCATCACTCAGAATGCCTCTATTTCGCGCCATTTTGCATAGGCAACATTGTTCCATTAATTGCCTGACAGGTGTATTATTTTAATTATTTATCAGACGCAAGAAAAACTTTTAAAAAAGACGTTTACAAAACGCTTGAATAAACCGTGCGTAAATTATGTTGTGTTGCCGATTTTTGCTGGTAGAATGAATGCCAGTATTGCACATGGTCCTTTCGCCTTACAGGATAATATCAATAGCACTAACTCCTCAAGCGATAGCCATGCCAGTGTAGTACTCAATCGTTTCAAATGCATATTTGATTTGGAGTAAGTCTTCAGGAGGGTGCCGGCACAATCGAGTCTGTCACACAATCACAGTTTGTTGCTAATTGGCCAAACGCTTAAGAGGTTCAAATATGCATGCAGAAATGGATTCCCATGTCCATGCGTGTTTGATAAGGGTTGCTAAGGTTGGCATTGGCGCCACTCGAATCTGTCCCGTCTCTCAACTGGCTATGCAGGAGGATCGCATAGTTGAAAGTCCGTGTCTCTGTCCATTGAGTACATTTCACATGGAAGGGGATGTATGTAGTCTCCAATGAATCAGACGGGGCGCAGGCTGGAGTGGGCGGAGTCTGGTAGTGTATCAGCTAGGGCGCACGTCATCACTGGCTCTGAAATAGTGCGCGTTAACATGCACGTGTGTGTCGCGTGATACGTGCGCATCTCTCGCATCCCCACAATCCCGCTCCTGACCTGCTCGCCAGCTCACGCACTCTCTCGCCAATGTACGCTGCGATCTCTCAAACCGCTGCCAGCCCGGGCCAGCTCTGGTGCAGGGCACTGGTCGGTAGAGAGATCGCTTTGGCAGCAGCGCCCTGCCTGAATGGTGGACCATTCTGGTTGCTTATATGATGGACCATTATGTTAGACGGTGTCGTTGGTTTTGCATACACTGATACAGAATATAAAAATGACTTTTGTTAACAACGGCCCCGCTGAGCAGGAAGATTCTGCGGTGGCCTGGTGTTCCGTTTCGACCCTATGCTACATTCTCCTGACACTCGCACGTCGTCGGTACGTCTGTTCTTCGTCCTTGCCTTTGCTGAGATCCCTCCGACGTCCGTGGTCCGGTGAACTCCTGTTCCCTGAACTTGTGAGCCCTAAAAACGGTTACATCCGCGCCACCAGAGGCCGTTGGCGCCACCGATCGCCGCCCGCCACCCCTGATCACGTCCCCGCGGCATTTCTCGTCCATTTGCCGCTGGAACTCTGCAGCGCCGCTGAGCATTGCTATTCTGCAAGGCGAACGGAACGATTCACGACTTCACGAGGCGAGTCGCGATTCCTCAAGAGATTATCTCCCCGTCAGCAGGGCTTGTGCGCCAGCCGCGCGGCTGACGTCTAGCACCGTGCCGTTTGCAACGAAACTGGGCACCACCATCATTTGGCGTAGGCTTGTAAGTGGCCGAGCGCAAAAACAAAAGAAACACGTCCCGCAGGGCATTATTTGAGAGAAAAGCCCGCACAGGCCCGCAAGTGCTCTTTCTGCTCCTGGTAAATATTTTCAATTTTACCATAGCTTTGGTCCCACAACTAAGAACTAAACATTCAAGTTTGGCTAATTGCAAGGAAACCTCAGTTTCTCAGAAGAACCAAAGCACATGGCTTTCTTGGGCAAATATATCAACTTCTTGAATTCCAGAACAGTATGCTCACGTTGTTTCAGAATGCCCTTCAAAATAATGTTGAGACACAGATTTTGAAAGCAAGGAAATTTCACAGCAGTGCTACGCAAGAAAATATTATTTTGCTTGCATTTAACACCTAAGTTGCATTACTGGAATTGTCCTTGTGATTCCTTCTATGCCCTGCATAATATACATGTTCAGTCCTGTTATAAAGACAAAATGCGACATCCATAGCTCGAAGGAGGTTGGTATTTGAAACCATACAATTGCCATTTTTACAAAGAAGTAGTGTTATGCGTGATTAACATGTGCCCGGGTAGCCGGCTAGATACCCTTCGCTTGGGCGGAGGGTCAATTTGCCCCCTGACATCTCGGGAACTATGAAAGCTAGACACACCAAATTTACATACAAAAATATCTTGACCTGTACGTGAACTCACGTAGGTCGAAGTTGGAGACTCCTAGGTTATGATCTTCAGGTCAAATAAGGTCAAGCAAGGTCAAGTTCCAGGATGGTCTCTTAAGTGCCTCCAGAACCTAGGTACCTGTTTCTAAGCAAAAGGTCACAAGCCCATTTGAGCTCAGTGACCTTGTTTAACCTTTCGAAGGTCATGGTGACCAAAATGCTACAAGACTGCTCTGAGTTTTGCATTTGAATAAGCGACAAAGATTACGCTAGGCAGTATGTTCCTAAAACAAAATGTCGACCCGGGTCATCTCAGGTTGATGACCTGTTTTGACCTCTAAAAAGTCAATGAAAGATGTGTAATGCGGTTCCTGCTGTAAATGATTAGAAGTGAGCACCACAAACTATGCCATACAGCATGCCCTAAAGTAATAAATCAAGTTGGTTTTGACCTTGGTATGACCTTCATACCTGACCTTAGGTCAACGCAATTTGCTTATTTAATATTTTTGGTGCCTAAGAAAGCATCTCAGAGATGTTTGGCTTCGTCGAACACTCTGTTGTTGTATCAGATTGAACGATTCCCTAGAAATTGCCCTCGCTGAAACCATGGCCTGACTTTGACCTACCATAGGTCAGCGGCCTTACAAGGTACATCTAAGTTTTTTATGTCAGACGATCTACTTTTCAATTCTCTACAGCTATGCAAAATTTGGCGGCCGCGCCGTTCGGAAACCATTTTGGAGAATCCTTCGGGGGGTAATTTGACCCCCCCCCCCCTACCCGAGCGTGTGATAAAACCCAACAGTCACATAAACTCATATGTGTCACGAACAACATGAAGCTATTACATTGCTGGACCGCAAATAGGCACTTCAATGACGACCTTCTCCATCGCATACACAGTAAAGCCGCCTTTTTATTTTATTTGGAATACACGCACCCACCCGGGCCCATATTTAAAGCCCGCATCCACCCCGCAAGGCACGTGTCCCCCACAAAGTTCGCATGGGCCCGCCAACTTCATTTTTCATTCCAAGTACACATAATCAGCCGTAGGATATTTTTGCTCTCAAAAGAAGGGCCGTTAAAGAACATTGATGCGCATTCATCCCTTCGTTATGTTTTTGCCATTAAAACGTCTTTGATTAATACGATGTGAACATACTTGTCCCGATCACAATAGAAGGTTCAATCCAAGGATCTCCAAATATGTATTCATTACCCCTGTTTTTTTTTTGTTTTTTTTTATAAACTAACACCGAGTGGTACCTGAAATAATGACTCATTTTCATGAGACTGCTGAGGAATCAATGCATGCAATGCCTTTGGTCCCTGGTATAAATTCCCTTTGTCCACGACAAAACCATCTTGGTTCTTCAGAAGACTTTTTAAAGTATGGATCAATGTATATCATGTCAGGTAGGAAGTCAAATAACTCCAAACGGCATTTGAATTCAAACATCAATACTGACTAAATATTCACCTGGGTTCATACGATGATTATAGTCCTAAATGTGCATAGATGTGGGTACGCCTTATGCGAACAAACTTTAGCCACCAAAGCCCAAATATTTTTGGTACTTTGAACAAGCCAAGTCAGCAATGCCCCCAAAAGCCATGTGGGCTTTTGAAGCCCGCGCATTGCGGGCATGCGGGCCCAAAAGCGTCAGCACCAACACACAGCAGTTCCAGCAGTGCCTGAACGATGGCTGACAACGCTCGCTTGCCTACAGTAGTGAGGCTTCGAATCTTACTGAAAAGATCTGTCCATATAAAACCAGGATTCATTTCATGCTCGAGACCAATTTCCCGTGAGTACAATCACAATGCCATCAAATTCTACAAGCCGCAACGTTTCACGCCTCATGGCAAATAAAACGTGGCCCGGTGCGCCATAAATGGTTTCACGCTCAACGCTTTGTCTATCAGCTGATTAACCGTGACTGCTGCCTAGCAAATATGGCATCGTTTGTAAGCCGCGCAAACGCCGTTGTTTGACATCACCGAGACGCAAAGACCAGAATCTTTGGCAGTTAAAAATAGTAAAAATAGTGCGCGCACTTAACACGCGTTGGCATGATAGGAACGTGATTCAATTGCAACCGAGTTAAAGAATTTAATTATTTCCTTGCACCGGTCGCCCCAACATTACGTCTTAAGATCTGCGGCCACAGCAGCTGATTTTAGATGGACGCATAGGTATTGATGCAATAGAAAACTACATAGATGCTTTGCATCGATGTGTCCAAGTTTCGTTAACAGCTAGCAGCGTCGATCAGCCTTGGCCATACTCTTGGCTAAACCGAGGCCGACCTACGTGCGTCGCAATCGCCCTTAGATGCTACGGCGCGGTGCGCCATTGCCCTGATGGCTAGTATTGCCTTATCTGGGTTTCGTAGTGAGTAGATAAGCTCTGAGCTGCAGGGGACTGGTTTGGTGATCGGGTGTCTTAGATCTGATGGACATTGGCATGCGTTTAACTCCAATGCAAGGCCCTCCTTTTCATTCAATCCAAGCAGAGCTTGTGGGTGGGGATTGCTGTTTGAACATGATCTAAGCACTTGAACCTGTCAGCTTTGCCAGGCATTGC